ATGTGGGGCCTCACCCCGCCCCCCCCCCGAGCATCCGTGGCAGGCGAGCGCCTGAGCCGTGCCCCCGCCCCCAGATTGCTGCCCCTCGGGCTGGGTGCTCTACAGGAGCAAGTGCCTCTTCGTCTCAGTGGAGCAGAAGACCTGGTGGCAAAGCCGTGAAGACTGCAGAGTGAAACATGCTCAGCTGCTGGTCCAAGGCAACTGGCTGTCATGGACGGTGCCGGTAGAGAGCAGGGGGGCTATGGCACCGCAGGAGGGTGGGGTTGATGGTGGGACTGGGCAGAGCCCTTGTGGGGCCAGTGGCATAGGCATCTGTGGAGGTGCTGGGATGGCACAGCGAGCCCTGGGTTCCCATCCCAGCATGCTGCAGGGACGAGCACAGTCGGTGCTGGGGCTCCCGGGCACCAGGAAGGTGCTGGTCATGGGGCAGGCAGTCGACAGCTTCTCTCCACACAGCATTTTTTTGCAGGAGAATGGTGGCAAATACTGGATTGGAGCACAATTTCCTTCTGAGTCAAGGTCGACGCTTGTATGGGATGACAAAAAGTATTGGTAAGTGCAGCAATCCTTGGCACAAGCACCTGCCCTGTAGCCACGCTGGGGAGGTGTCATTTCACCCCTGGGGGACCACCCCGGCAGAAGGGGTGATGCTTCAACAACCATCAACAAGGGAGGGGGTTCTGGTCAGAGCCCGGCTGTGGGGTCCACTGCCAGATCTCCAAGTGGCAGAGCAGGAGGCCAGGCGGGGGGGGGGAACATGGCCATTTCTGTGACTGGTCCCAGTGCCAGATGCCCTGCCTGTCCCAGTGGCACTGGGACCTGTGGGAAGAGGTGTCCATGGTGAGGATGCTGTCACTGCCCTTCTGAGATGTGCCCTCTCTCCTAGGATGAACTATTTTGCAGACTGTGGGCTATCAGTTAACGGGAAAATAGAGAGATCAAACTGAAATAAAAGGCACACGTGGATCTGCGAGCAGCTCCCGACACTGACCAAGGCATCCGAGACCCTCCTTCCTCACCCAGCCAAGGCCTGATTGTGCTGCCAGCCCACCCTGTCACAGGACTCAGGGACAGGAGCTGGGGGTGCACCCGGAGACCATCTCCCCTATGTGAGCGTTGCCTCAACCGCGTTGCAAAGCGCCAGGAAAGGGCGTCTGTATTTCAAAACAAGGCTTATGGAAAAAAAAGACCTTATTCCCCTCTCTCGCACTCACGCATACACTTATACCCCCTTGCATCTGCCCTCTGTGTGTCCTCGTGTGCCTCGGCCAGCACAGCTCGCAGTGAGCCGACCCTCTGGAGCGAAGCCCCGCTCCCGCCTGCTGTGGTCCCCCAGGCCTGCTGGTGGTGCACCGGCGCAGGATGTGCCATTTGCATCTTTTTGGAGCTGGGGGGGTGACACCGCCATTGGTGTCCCCAGCCTGTCCTCTTTGGGGAATCCTGTGGATTTACCGCCTGTCCCTTCCCTCCACATCGACAGCTTCCCTCCCGCCTTTTCTTCTGCCTCCATCACCTGCCAGGGCTTTGGGCTGGGCTTTGCCTGGGGACAGTGCAGGCAGCGGTGCCATCAGCATGAGAATCTGCTGGGAAGACCTGAGACCATGTGGGAGATGGTGGAGCACTGAGGAGCCCTGAGACCATGGCGGGGGGGGTGAATGAGGGAACCCCGAGACCATGGGGGGAAAAGGCGTGCACTAAAGAGCCCTGAGACCATGGTGGGTGAACAAAGGAGCCCTGAGGACATGGGGGAAATAGAGGTGCAGTGAAGATCCCTGAGGCCATGGAAGTCAAATGAGGGAGACCAGAGGCCATGGGAGAAAATGGGGGTGCAGCGAGGTGTCTTAAGACCGTGGGAGAGGGGGGAGAGCCCTGGGGAGGCTTGGGAACACAGGGGAAAGGGGAGACCCCTGCCACCACTATGGAAAGATCCCTAAGACCATGGTGGGATCTGAGCTGCCAGGGGGATGATGAGGGAGCCCTGTCCCTGATCCGGCTGGGGTGGGTCAGTGGTGGAGTCCAGGGGCAGCGCTGACTCCATGTTTCAC